TGTAATTATTTATATTATTCATATTTAACAAAATGAGTATATTATAAATATGATGATCATAACTTTAAAATATTTCAAATTCTGTCTAATAAGATTGATTTAACAAAATTAATGTTTTTTGACTAAAGTTAATTAATTCCTTTTACTGTCTAAAATGGATGAATCTTGGAGTCAAAGAGTATTGGCATTTATTGAAATGTTGAAACAAATGCAGCAAAATTAAATCTGTTTTATCTTTTTGAAAGCAACACCTCAAACCATGTATAGGTTATAATTATTCTGTTCTAAAAGGAAGGAAAATAAAACATGATATCCATAAGAGAAAATCCTTTACCCTCCGAGATTTAATGTAGAAGATTAAGAAATGTTTAGTAAAGTTTAAATAATCCTAAAAGATTTTCAAATATTAGTGTTTATAAAGTAAAATAATAACTTTCAGTAGAAAGACCTGTAGATTTAAATTGTTCATGAATAATGTCCTTTGGGTTCATTCACAGAGCTCCTGGAAAAGGTGGTGGTGTGTCTTCTTATAGTCGGACGCCAATGTATGGAAGTACAACTCCAATGTATGGTGCTGGCTCCAGGACACCAATGTATGGTTCTCAGACTCCTCTGCATGATGGTAAATATGTCCATGTGTAGATCAAAATGTAGATTAGAGAAGCTGTAGAAGATTTAATAACTTTCCTTGCTTTTGAAGTTAATATGTCATGCTGTGTTGTATCTACAGAGTGCATAATTCTTCTCATGATTCATGGCATGTGCACATTTTACTGACGTCATGATGCCAATGATCAAATTAAATATGAATTTACTGATAGAGATAAGCATCATAAACCTAGAATTATTTACTAATGTATAATTTTTGTTTTGTTTTAGGGAGTAGAACTCCACATTATGGGAACCAGACACCTTTGCATGAAGGTAGCCGGACTCCGAGCCATGGAGCATGGGACCCCACAGTTACTAATACTCCAGCCAGGTATAGTTATGTTTGGTTAAAACCCACTAACTCACTAAATATTGTGGCTTATTATAATGATTTAAATAATTAGAAGAGACTTTTTTTTTTTACATCAAGACATCAGCTACACATAATAAGTTTACTTCAAGGGAAAACATATTGAATTGGTACTGTAATTGTTTGCTCTACTAACTGTAGAAAAAAGTCAACCTTCAAAAATAGAAATGAAATTCAACAAGCATGAAAATATTTGAAAATAATACAAGTTAGATAAACACCACTGAAAATATAAAGGGTTTATTAAAGAACCTTCCCTGCAGAAAAAAGCTAATTATAAAATTGGTCTAATTCTTCTTGCTATGGGTATTTTAATGTATGCACGTCATGAACCTTTATAGAGTTACACTCAAAATTTAATGGTACTTTAGTATCAATGTACATGAAAAAAGTTTGCATAAAGACTTAGCTAATAAATCAAATTTTAGTATTAAAGTAGTCCCTTCCAATAACAACTTCCTTTGAAATACAACTTTTTTCTGTGCACGGAACAATTTTACATTGATCTGACCTCCCACGAATGACTTCCTGACAGATGTGACATACAACCTGCAACGTATTAGAATTTCAAATTGTTTGAAATTGAGGTAAATGATATTTTGAATTTAATAGTTAAATTGTACTTTAGATTTAATAGTTAAGTAAAAGTCAATATATAGTCAGTTTATGATATTTGCCAACAATATTGATACATGTTTTTTTTTTGTAACACAAATACGTTTTAATATACACACAACAATACAATTTACAATAACAGTTATTACAAACAATGATTTATAATCAAAAGTTTCACAAACTTACAAGCAATATAAAGTTTTCCTTTTAATCTGGAACTTCTTCGATATCTTATCGAGGGTTCATGACGAACAAGTTAATTACGAGTTGACGTAGGTAAAATTCGCTTAACTGGAAGCTAGCTAACTTTATCCTTCGTTATTTATCGTCCACACACGTCGAGTTTTCCATGATGAATAATTTATATAATGTTTTCATAAAAATACCAATGTCCAATGAGAATATACTGAAGTTAAATGATTTGTAATGTTCAAACTTTGTAAAGGTTCCTGGTCAAATATCTGAAGTTTTCCTATTGATAAGCATTATAATAATCACACTTATAGTCTCCAAAGTTTATAGTACACTGACTATTGCAAACTAATAATAGATACTCTCATTTTAGCACATCGCGTTGGTTATATTTATA